GAATCGCCCTCTGTGGGCTCAGGGTGCTCCAGCTCTGAAAGGAGCAGCTGGGCCCAGTGCTCCAGGTGTGAGCTGGTTCTGTAGATCCAAGAAGGACAGAGGCAGATGGGAAGGGCCCTGTGTGGGTAATGGCACGCCTCTTTCCATGGCTAGTGGAGGGACTGTCACTGATGACTCAGCATGAGCTTTCTGCTCATCATTCCCTGCCCTCTCCTCCCCACTCCTCTTCAGTCCTGTCTTCTCACTTGCTGCCCAGACACTCTCTTGACTCCAGCACTAGCTTTACTCCTCATGCCTGGAACAGCCATCACTATGTGCTTTCCCCAGACACCCAGCTCCAGCATTTAGCACACTATTGTGAGGGTCAGCTCAGCCGACAGGGTGGCTCTCTCACCTCCACAAGGACACCACACAGGATAAAACACACACACATGCACAGGGACAGGACACAGCCCAGAAGCCCAGGACACAGGACAAGGGATCCAGTTTTCTGGGCTGTTGAGTTCTCATTCACAGTGACCAGTGCCCATGTGCCCCCAAAGTTGCCACCCAATGCCTTTTTCAGTGGTGCCATCTCCCCTGTGTCTCTGGGGTCAGGCTGGGCTGGAACATGTGGGCATGAGGCACCGTGTTCACACCTCAGCTCCTGCTCCCTGCAGGTCCTGGATGCCCAGAGGCTGATCATGGCTTGAGAAATAAAAGTATGGCTAGGCCAGCAGAATGCTCTGCACTGCTGACCCTGGGACCTGGCACACTGGCTGCACTAGGGAGCAGGAGGAGAGGTGGACAGAGACCCTGCTGAGAGAAGTTGTCAGTTATACTGTCCGCCAGAGGAAGGGCACCCTCCTGGTACATTCCTGTCTAAATCCCACCATGGTTCAATGGTGCCATCTCCCCTATATCCCTGGGGTCATGCTGGGCAGGAGCAGGTGGATATGAGGCACCGTGTTCACACCTCCCTCAGTTCCTGCTCCCTGCAGGTCCTGGATGCCTAGATGCTGATCATGGCTTGAGAAGGAAAAGCATGGCTGGGTCAACAGAATGCTCTGCAGTGCTGACCCTGGGACCTGGCACGGTGGCTGCACTGGGGAGCAGGGGCAGAGGTAGACAGAGACCCTGCTGTTTATTCTTGTCCTCATCCTCAAAGATATGGGCCAAGAAATCTTTGCCCTTTTTGTCCTGTGGAAAAGACAAATTCAGTCCCAAAAGTGTTATGGGTGGAACAGGAGAAGGAGGAGACAGAAAGGGGCAGAGAAGCATCTAGGGGAGCACAGGGGTAGCTGGTGTGGGCCCGTGGAAGGTGTCTGGTAATGAGGGGGACATTAGCACTAACCTGTAATTCACTGAGGGATTTTCCTATGATCAAGCATCAGCATAAAGAGAGACCTAGTGGTGATGGGCAGACTCAGCCCAGAGCCCCACTTATCAATGAACTGGTGGGTAGGGGGTCTTTACACCCAGACCTGCTCCTGACTGAAATTCAGGACCCCATCTACCTAAGTTCTACCCAGAAACTAGAGATAGCCCCTATCCGTTTTCTTGTCATCCCTAACCCTCCTCTCCTATCTCCTATTTGCCTTCCCAAATCTTCCATGCTCAGTGCCCTCTTTTGCTCACCTGCTCTCTGTATCACCTAGTAGCCTCTCTTTTTGTAATCTGTTCAGTATATTCTAATTGTCAGACTAAATCAGGTCTCTGAATGAGCTCTTTCTTTGTAATGAAAGGTGTTAAATTTTATCAGCCATGGGATTTCTATCACCTTCCCTTGGATCTCAGAGAACCGAATGGAGGCTTCTGGTGGCAGAGCCTGAGCCTCTGGGCTTCAGTCTCCTGGATGGAGATTGACAAGTGGGAGGGGACCCGTTCTTTACTCTCCTATTTCACCAACTGATAACTACCCTTGATCCCCAGATGCCTTTACACTTGGCCTCATGTACCATCTCTTTCATCCTGATAATAAGTCAGGAGAGTCCTCTTAGGCCTTTTTGCAGATGAGAATATTGAGGATCAGAGAATGGGGTTGACTTGTCCAAAGTCCTCCGCCATGCCAGGGCCCAAGCAACCTTAAGAAGTTATCCAGACTCACACAAGCATTGAGGAAGTGAGGGTAATTCTCCCTCAGCATCCTCAGCAGGCCCTTCTTGTTAATCTTGTCATCAGGTTTGGTGTATCTGTGGAACTGGTCGATCAAGTCCATCATAGCCTGTTCAGCTGCAGTATGGCCCATCTTGGATTTCAAGAAAGCTGCCGGAGAGGAAGATGGGGAACTTTGTTATCCTTGAGTCCCTAAGTCGGGACAATGGGGTTTCTGTGAAGTGAGGTTCAGCTGGATCAGAAGGAATTGTATCACCCTAGGAGGTGGGATGAGATGCTCGTAAGGAGGAAAGTGTGACCAAGGCTGGGGCCTGGGCACATCCAGGTCAGGGCCCAGAGGAGGTAGGGAGAATACAGAAACCCACTGTGGACAGAGCCCCAGAAGGCAGAAGCAGAGAGGGTAGGGGTCAACCAAATGGAAAAGGACTGATGTTTTGTCTGGGACCTGAACCAAACACTAATTTGGATGACTCTACTCTTCAAGAGCATCAACACCATTTTCTCTAGTGTCAGCATTAGGGTTAGAGTCATGGGGACAAAATAACTTCCTGACTAGTCTGGCCTGCCCGGCCCTGGGCTGCTCTTGGAATGAGTCCCCTGAGGTGCCCGTTGTGAACATAAAGCAAGCTCTAAATGAAAGAAGCCCTGGAGGCTCCCAGCGGTGAGTGTGAGTAGGATGGTGAGTGTGAGCAGAGATATACAGCCCTGTCCAGAGCTCCCAGAAGGTTTCCTGAACCATCCCCACCAGATTGAAAGAAGGCCTGCTGACCAGTGTTGGCATCTTGCTTGAAAGGAACAGAAATACCTGCCTCAGTGTTAGACTCTTGGGTGGAATGTGGGGAGATAGGCTCCTTCAGATGACCTTTGTACCTCCCTGCTCTCTGGAACCCCAAGGCTCGACCCCCTTTAAGTAAAGAGGTCTGACTTCCCAAAGCCAGTTCCTCCATCCACAGTCTGGACCCCAAGCAGAGAAATGGGACAGTGCAGCCCTCACATTTCAGACTTTCCCAAACTCTCAAGAAATGTGTATGGTTCCCAGGTGTGGGCATCTAACAAAAACTTCCATTGTCTCCTGATCTGGGAGAAAGATCCTCCCTGTTATGTCCCTAAGTGCAAACACCTAAGGCCATCTGTCAACTTGGCCAAGGCGTTAGCTGAGCCCTGTGCACAGAAGGTCACTGGTCATTCCCTCAACTGGGAATGAGGTTCAAAACCTAAGTTGATAGGTCCCTGATCCAAGGTAGTGGCAGTCCTTATAACCAGGGCATAGCAAGTGGGCATCCCAGGTCTGGGTTTAGGAGAATCTTCCAGATGTTGGGAGAGCCACCCACACTCCTGAGGTTGGGGTGCGAAGGCCATGGCCTGAGAGTCAGATGATTCTAGAGAGAAAAGTAGACAAGGAGCAGAGGAAGGTTCATGTACTGAACTCCCACCAGGGATATTTCTGTCAACTTGGCCAAGGCCTGAGCTGAGCCCTGGGCACAAAAGGTCACTGGTCATTCCCTCAGCTGGTGACAAGGTCCAAAACATTAGTTGATATTTCCCTGATCCACATAGTGGCAAATCTTCTCACCAGGGCAAAGTGAGTGGGCATCCCAGGCCTGGGTTTAGGAGAATCTTCCAGACTTTGGGAGAGCCACCCACTCTCTCCAGAGGTTGGGGTGGAAAGACCCATAACAGGCAGAGTTGAGACTGGATACAGGTTCCTGAATCTGCTCCCATCACCGCTCTCCCTATTCCTGGACACAGAACACACTGGGCCCTGACAAACCCCCCTGGCAAACAGTTAGGTGCAGACTTACCAGAGCTGACGAGGTGTCACTGAGGATAAGGTGAGTGTGCTGTGCATCTGGACAAAGACTGGTCCCTTTACATAACAGGCAGAGTTGAGACTGGATATAGGTTCCTGAATCTGCTCCCATCACCGCTCTCCCTATTCCTGGACACAGAACACACTGGGCCCTGACAAACCCCCCTGGCAAACAGTTAGGTGCAGACTTACCAGAGCTGACGAGGTGTCACTGAGGAGAAGGTGAGTGTGCTGTGCATCTGGACAAAGACTGGTCCCTTTATAAGGCTCAGTCTGGCTCCTCCCAGGCATTTGGGCCGTGTTCTCTCCCTGCTTAATGGACCATTGCCTCACTCAGGTGGGAGGCACACACCTAGGAGTGTGTGTTTATCATCTTCCAATAAAATCTTAGGCAACACCCAAGGGATTGCACTATTCTAGAGCATTATTCTGTGGGTAAGGAAACCTAGGGCTGGGGAGGGGAAGACAATGGGATGTGTCTCAAAAACACAGGAATTGAGGTAGAGAACACTGGGTTTCTGAACTTAAAGAGGATGGGACTCTGAAAGGCATTAGCCCCACACTCTAGAACTTCGCTATGCAGCTCCAGGGGCTGCCTGAGCCCACCAAGGAAGCCACTGTCTCTAGACTCAGGGATGGTGACCACCATGAAATAAGCCAGCAGGAAATGGGGCAACTTTTCCTCCCCTCCCATGATGATGCCTTCCTATAAATTCTTCCATGGTGTCCCTCCTTCCCTTATGCAAAACAGTCTGCTTAGGAGTCAGTGGTCACGCCCTAGATTTACAGTGATGGCGAACCTATAACAGGCATGTCAGAAGTGACACGCAAACTCATTTTTTTGGTTGATTTTTCTTTGTTAAATTGCATTTAAATATATAAAATAAATATCAAAAATATAAGTCTTTGTTTTACTATGGTTGCAAATATCAAAACATTTCTATATGTGACACAGCACCAGAATTAAGTTAGGGTTTTTCAAAATGCTGACATGCCAAGCTCAAAAGGTTCGCCATCACTGCCCTAGAATCTGCTGTGTCCCAACCTGCTGTGTACAATCTAGTTCAGGTGCAGGAGACAGGAGCTTGGAGGGTAGGAGGAGCCCTGGGGTTCTCTGGGGAACCGCCCTGGTGACTCACTAAGGAATCCTTGTTCCTGATCTCTGCTTTGCTTAGAGCAGTGGTTCTCAGCCTTGGCTACACATTAGAACAGGGGTGGGCAAACTTTTTGACTCGAGGGCCACAATGGATTCTTAAACTGGAACGGAGGGTCGGAACAAAAGCATGGATGGAGTGTTTGTGTGAACTAATATAAATTCAAAGTAAACATCATTACATAAAAGGGTACAGTCTTTTTTTT